CACCACAATGGATATCTACCTAATTTACACACACATTTTCACATATTTTTACTTATTTTTTTAAAACTGTACCAGCCTCGTATATATTTTTATCTTGCATAAAACTGCTGAACTACTGTACCAGATTATGGTAAATAAGAGATTAATTAATTAGCCAGTGTAGCTGTGCCCTTTCCATTCCAGCCACACCACTTGGCAGGGCAGTCTTGGATCAACCAGCCAACCTAAAAAACTGCCATCAGCCCCATTAAAGTTGCTCATCTGTGGTATAGACTGCATGTGAAATATGGTACAGCACCGGGGATGAAGGCCGAAGCCTTTAATACCCCAAATTTGCCACCAACAGTCCTGATCCCGCAGCCTGTAGTGCCCTGTCACTACATCTCAGGGCAGCAAATCCTCAACATGTGAAATAAAACTGGTTTTTGTCTGGCCTGAAATCTCCTGCCATTCAGATAATCCTTCTGGGTTCTTGCTTTGAGGAAGGATACAGTAGAGTATTTGCCTTCTTCTCACCACCCCCTTTATTCACTGACATCTAGCAACCCCTCCTGTGTGAACTTCTCTCTGCGGGTACTTAACACATCACCCAAAAGGGAGTGATGCATGGCTAAAAAGAGAGTTCAAAAAGCCCACCAGCCAAAAAAACACAAAAACGGTTTGCATAAACATTGCAAATATTTACATTACAAATATGAGAAATATTTTGAGAAAAGGAACGGAGTCTCAATGCACCGCACTCCAGTGGGAAACAAAGGTGATCTCTTCACCAGCTGCCATCAGTGCTCCAGGTGCTGCCTGTGGAAAACGTCACCTCCACACCCTGGATCTTCCTCCTCCTCCTCCCGCTTCTTCCTCTTTAAATCAAGCTTGTCCTGGACAGCCTCTTCGAGAGGCGGTTTGTCGTATTCTGGCAGCCTTTGGAAGGGAGAGCTGTCCTCCCTAAAAGAGGGCACGTGGCCACCCCTACGGGTGACCTCTTAGGACATTTCTGTCTCTCCTTCCCGAGCAGCGCGCGCCTCCGCCAACTTCTCCC